AGGCCTAATTTTTTTTTTTTTTGGTTAGGCCTCCAGACTAAATATTTGTTTCCGGAGCAGCGGCAGGTCCTCTGAGGTGAAGTGGTAAACACTTTTGGCCTAGGACTGCAGGTAATAAAAATGTGTCCTGGCTGCCCAAAGGGAGGGGCGGCGGGAAAGCCAGAGGGGGAGCTGAGCCCCGCAGCCGCTGGGCCTGGCTCTCCACTTCCACTGAGGGTCCCAGGCAACTGGTGCCAAGCGCCTAAGGACCCACATAGGGACGTGCTCGCTGGAGAGCTGGAGCTGCAGGGTGTGGCGGGACAGCAGGACGGCCAGCGCCTGGGCTGCAAGCTCCAGGCACGTTTTCTTTAAGTACGGTTTCCACGACTGAAGGTTTCACTTTCTAGGGTAAGACGAGGATTTGGTGACTCCAGACCTGCCTTCTCAGTGGCAACTTCCCATTCCTCCTAGGCCCACTTCTAGCTCTCCGTCTCACCTGGGTCTCTCTATGCTTCTCTCTTTCCTGCCCCCTATCAGTCCCTCAGCCCACCAGGACTGTCATGTGTGGGGCTTGGGTGGGCACTTTCTCCTTGGACTTTAAGGCTGAGTCGGATCGCCTGCCTGGAGCTTGTGTGTCCTCAGACGCGACGGGAAAACTTGCAGGGACATCTAGCGCCAGGCCGGGGGAACTGCGGGGCACCTGGAAGGCAAGCTGAGCCCCCGAAGCCCCAGCCCTGCCACCTCCTTCTCCGCTCTCCCTTCATTCTTAGGCACTTTCCTAACCTTCATCCCTTTGCCCTCCTGGGAAAGACAATGTGGATTCCCTATGGAAACAGCGGGCTCTTTTAGGTGGAAATAGGCAGGTAGACAGACTTATTTTCTTTTATCTCAAACGACTACGGAGTGAGCATTTACTGGACTTAATAGTTTTGCTAGAAAAGCGTACTCTAAGGACAACTGGTCACCTTCGAATGTCCGTTAAAATTGCAGCATATTTGGTCCTAGTTTTATTTTCTGAAAAGGGCAACAAGTTACATGGGTCCTCCACTCTAGTCCCACCCTCCCACAGCACTCCTTTCATGGTGAAATTAGTGCCTCTCTTTCTTGTCTTATAGAGCCTTGCTATGTTTAATTCTCTCCAAGGCCATCCCAAACAAGGGCCCACTGTCCCTGCTGTCCTGTTGGAAGCAAACCTGGAGTTGGAAAGAGTCTTTGTTGTTGTTGCTGCTGCTGCTGCTGCTGTAAATAATTTTTATTTAATAAAGCCTGATTGTTTTGTTAAACCCAAAAGAATATAGCACAGACATAAAAACTGCACAAATGCAAGATTCCACTGTTCACCCTTGCTAGAGTGCTCTTTCTTCACCCCAGGTTTGTTTTGTTCTTGTTGTTTTGATACTTCTAGCCCAGTGAAACTGGGTATTGCTTGGAGAGGGAAAATTAGCTCCAAAGTTGGCAAGACACAGAGTTGGTTAAGAAAACCCTCTAGCCAGTTCCACTGGACTTAAAAAATCTTTATTTTGGAATTAAGACACTTTCTATGATGCATCTTTGGCTTCATACAAGTTAATTAGGAGGGTGTCTTACATTTCCTCGTTGTGTACGTGAAGACTAATGTTTTCAAAGAAGTCCCCAGGACTCCACTCTGGTAGCACCCTGTCCTCCTACATTTAATGGCCACTAATTACGTGCTTAATTGAGTTCATCGCTAGCTTGGCAAGCAGAGCAGCTTCAATAAATCCAAATTGCAGCCTATATCTTCTCATTCTCCAATACAAGATAGGAGCACAATTTGAAAAATTCTACAAAGAAGAAAAGAAAGGATATAACTTCTAGAACAGCATTTTTTAAAAGGGAGCTTGAGGAGGAAAAGAGAGAGGAATAAGTGATGGGTAAAGTGGGATCTGGGGCAATAAAGGTTCATCCCAAGATTTTCTTCAAAATTAGGAACTGGTTTCACAAAAGAACACATGAGTGTTTGGAGACATTTGCTGTCCCAAAAGATTTTAGTTTAACAAAGCTTATTTCTGTTGGTAAGGCCCTAACATGATACACCCACACAGAAATACAAGGCTCAGTCTGTGTTCCTGACCAGCTAAATAAAATTATTCCCCATTAATTTTAAACCTGGATAAAATGTTTCTGCAAATTCAGCTTCAAAATTCCTCCTCTACCTACTACCCTCAGCATGAAGCTATGTGTCTCATTAGTTTGTAAACAAAGAAGCCTTGACTTTTTCTGGTACTCAGTCATAGCCCTTGTATCCAATAGCAGTACCTGCTGGGGTGCTGGGTTAGGGGGCCCATATATACCAAGTTAGAGCCCCTTTCCCAACGGTACCTCTTCCCACTCTGCTGGGACTTCAAAACATATACTGGAAGCAGGTTTGATTGCAGACTATTAAGAGGCAAAACTCCTGATTCAAAACTTCTGTGGTTTCTGAATACCCTTTGGGATGGGCAGAGAAACCCCAGGTCCTGGGATGGCCCCACAAGCCAACATTGATAAGTCTCTTTCATCCTGAGCATTAATTCAGATTGTCCTCCCATTCCTGCACAATTTAATTTGCTGCATGGAAAAATAAGCCAAATCTAATGAGATGCCAGAAATCAACAAAATGATAAATTCTTCCTTCTGGTATTAATTTCACTTTCTTAATTTAAAAACATAATCATTAAGATGTATTTATGAAATGGTAAATGCAGCAGAAGTCCAAAGGCACAAAACCACAGAGATATTTACTTTGAAGAGACTGAGAGTTCGTTGGTTACAGCATAATCTTAGGAATATTTCATCAAATTTGTTTTTTGAAGTTATAGAAAATAGTTAAAACTATCTCCATGTCTTCCCTATCTGAGAAAAAAAGAAAGCGACAAAGGAAAAATGAAAGCATTTCTGGGTGGCCCATGGTTGGTGGGTTGGTACCAAAATTGTTTGGTAAAGACCCAGTCAAATCCTTTTAAAAAGTTAGCAACCCTGTGTCGCCTGGCGCTGGTTGGCCTTTTAAAATTGTCCATCCAGCTTCCGTTGCTAACTTTTGCCTTCTTCTCCCAAGTAATCAAAAAAAAAATTTGTTTTCATCAGCAAACTTTTATTCCTATGATTTCCTGCGAAACTCAGGCCCCTCCCATCTTGAATTTGATCATGAATATGTCTAGGACTTCAAAAAGGTCAAACAAATTCTCTTGCTTTTCCTTTGCAGCACTCCTCTCATAACTTCTCCCTTTATTTGAGCCTTTTATGGTTACTGCATTTTTCGTGTCAACACTCCAAACACCAGCAGCCCACCCTGAAATGCCAGGCCAGGCCAAAGAGGACCTCCCTGGTTCTCTATTTCACCCTATTCAGGGCCTGTCTTTGGTCAGGGAACAGCCGGGCTGGATGGCATGCTGTTGTCCCAATCACAGGTTTAGGGGAGCAATTTTCTTGGAAATTGGAAGGCCTGGAAAATCGATGCCATAGAACCAAATGGGCTCTCTCTCAGGGATTTCACACCCACCCTTGGCTTATTGAATCTATAATTGCTCCGAAGGCAGATTCTTAAATTCATTGCAGTACTCACACCCGTGCCCCATTAATTGCTTAGATCGAGGGATGAGGACTATGGTTCTGAGGCTGAGAATGACAGGAAGGAAGAGGTACAGGCCTGTGATCCCTAACACCTTGGTAGCAGGGCCTCAGAGCGAGGCCTAGCTTCACCAGCGCTACCCCGACCCCCACCCCGCCCCCCGAAGTCAAACCCAGTTTCTATCACAAAGCCCCGACTTTGCTTCGGAAAAAAACGCCCTCCTAATTTGTCCTTCTCAGTTCTCTGCATTTGGCAGCTTGGGAGAGGAACTGAAACAAAGGTTCCTAGGAAAGTGAAGTTTTCAATTAATTTGTTGTAGCAGACGGGGGCGGGAGGTGGCTGCAAAATGCAAGAGGCGGATCGGGCTGCTGCAGAGGTGCAGAAGCTCCGGAGCAGGCGGCGGGGTGGCTTTCTCCCCAGGCGCCCTTCACAAGGTCTTTCTGCCAGCCCGGGGCCGGCCACATTGAGGCTGAGGAGCCCAGCTCTGGAGGCGACACTCCCTGGCTGGCACTAGTGCCGAGGCGAATGGAGTAGAGCAGGCATTCAAGGACTTTTCTCGTTGGGTCATATTATCACTCTCACCGCTCCAAGACCGGGTCTTTCCTCTGCTTGACTTACTTGTATGTCTCTGCCGCCAGCCCAAAGGGTGCTTCGTGGGTATTTTCCGGGTAGGTAGCGTGTGCCTATAGGAAGGGTCTGCGCCAACTGGTCTTATGCTCGCAAATGTCTTTGACCAGTACCAATTCTCAACGTGGGGAAAATTCACTCCCTCGTGTTTGGGGTCTAGAAGTCGACTAACCGAAGGATTAAGCAACAGGATCAAACATTAGTCGTTTCACGTCATTCTGACCATCTCTGTCCATCATCTTCATTTCGTTATGCAGCTCTGGAAGCCGAGAAAAGGTGGCAAAAACAGTGGTTGCCGAGACAAGGCACAGGCCTCGGCTCCCGCCTCAAGTCGCAGAAAGGGCCTCGGATGGGCCGTCGCGCAATCAACTCGTGGGGGTGGCTGCGGCGCAAACGCCTGAGTCTGGGGGAGGGCAGGAATGGGAGGTGGACTGCGCTAGGGGTAGGGGAGGGGTGGGGGCCCGGGTGGGTGGGTCCAGCCTAGCCTGGGCCTGGAGCCAGGTTGCCCCGCACCCCCACCCCCCACGTGGCCCTGTGTAGCCAATGGCACGGCCCCCGGCGGGCGCCCTCGGGGCGGGAGGCGGCCCCCCGACAGGCCCAAGGCCCCCTCCCAACCTGAACTTCGTTTTTATAAACGTCCCGCGATGAGCTAACCTGTTGGAGGGCGGGCAGGCGGGAGGCGGGAGGCTAGCAGAGGGAGAGAGGGCGAGAGGAAGAGGGCGGGAGCGAGCGCACCAGAGAGAAAGGAGAGGAGGGAGGAGGCTCGCCGCGCCATGGTGTCCTGCGCGGGGCCAGGACCAGGGCCCGGGCCAGGCCAGGCCGGGCCATGAGCCGCGCCGGGAACTGGAACATGGACGGGCTGCGGGCGGATAGTGGGGCAGCCGGGGACGCCCCGGCTTCCTCCTCCTCCTCCTCCTCGGTGGCGGCGGCCGCAGCTGCCGCGCCGGGCCAGTGCCGGGGCTTCCTCTCTGCGCCGGTGTTCGCCGGGACACATTCAGGGCGGGCTGCTGCGGCGGCAGCGGCTGCGGCGGCGGCAGCAGCGGCTGCTTCTGGCTTTGCCTACCCGGGGACCTCTGAGCGCACGGGCTCCGCCTCGTCATCATCTTCGGCTGTGGTTGGGGCGCGCCCAGAGGCTCCCCCGGCCAAAGAGTGCCCAACACCGGCGCCCACTTCGGCCACTGCAGCGCCCCCGGGCGCTCCTGCCCTGGGCTACGGCTACCACTTCGGCAACGGCTACTATAGCTGCCGCATGTCGCACGGTGTTGGCTTACAGCAGAATGCACTCAAGTCATCACCGCACGCCTCGCTGGGAGGCTTCCCCGTGGAGAAGTACATGGACGTGTCGGGCCTGGCAAGCAGCAGCGTCCCGGCCAACGAGGTGCCGGCGCGAGCCAAGGAGGTGTCCTTCTACCAGGGCTACACGAGCCCCTACCAGCATGTACCTGGCTATATCGATATGGTGTCCACCTTTGGATCCGGGGAGCCTCGGCATGAGGCGTACATCTCCATGGAGGGTTACCAGTCCTGGACGCTGGCTAACGGGTGGAATAGCCAGGTGTACTGCGCCAAGGACCAGCCACAGGGCTCCCACTTTTGGAAATCGTCCTTTCCAGGTAGGGGCCATGGAGAAAAGGGGAGGACGCCAGGGAGAGGGAGAGAGGGGGGAAAGAAACAACTAACCCTTACTTGGGAGTGGGTGCCTGTGCTCCACACCTGACCAGGATTCACCCAGTGGAAGTTTGTCCAGTTTGTGTGAAATCTATAAATTTCTCCCTCAATTTTTTTTTTTTGAGACAAAGTCTCAAGCTGTCGCCCTGGGTAGAGTGCTGTGACATTACAGTTCACAGCAACTTCAAACTCTTGGGCTTAAGCGCCACAACAACCTGCTGTTTTTTGATGGCAGTTGTCCTTGTTGTTTGGCAGGCTCAGGCTGGATTCGAACCCTCCAGCTATGGTGTATGTGGCTGGCACCCTAGCCGCTGAGCTACAGGCACCCAGCCTCTCTCACAATTTAAACTGCCTTTTTCACCCAACTTTTTCATCGTACGTGCAGTGTTGGCACATTTTTTTTTCTAAAGTTTTTTTGTTGTTGGTTTGTTTTGTAGAAACAGAGTCTACTTTATCTGCCTCAGTAGAGTGCTGTGGTGTCAAACAGCTCACAGCAACCTCCAACTCTTGGGCTTAGGCAATTCTCTTGCCTCAGCCTCTGGAGTAGTTGGGACTACAGGCGTCCACTACAATGCCTGGCTTTTCTGTTGTTGTTGTTGCAGTTTGGCTGGGGGCCGGGTTTGAACCCACCACCCTCAGTATATGGGGACTGCACCCTACCCACTTAGCCATAGGTGAAAGTCTGTGCCCTTTGCTCAGGCCTCTCCCTCTCCTTCTAAAGAGGCTTCTTTCCTAAGAAGTGTCACAGAGTTGGGCCACCCTTTGCAAGGTCATAAGTGCCCTCAGAGTTACCATTGAAGCTTTTTAGATAGAGTCCACAAGCTCTAAACACAAAGACTTGGAAAATCAAACTTGTAGCAAAAGAACTGAATATGTATGTGTTTAGGTACACACATGCGCATGCACACACACACACACATATATGCAAGCAGTGTTTGCAGAAACTGTCCTTACGAGCTTGCCTAATAATCAAGCCATAAAAATGCAGGCTTGTTAAGATGCCGGTTTCAGAAATCATGCTGATCCATCAAATTAGCCTTTGTTTTGAACTGCAAATAATCTTTCTTTAATGTGTAACTATTGTGCCCATGTAAATCATAATAAAGTCTGAATGGCCTGGTTTTCTTTATTTTCTGCACCCCTCCAGACATGCGTGTGCGCGCACACACACACACACACACAAAATCCCCAGGTAGGTGCTCCAGATATCCCAGTCTAATTTTTCCCATACTGTTGTTTGTACCAGGGGATGTGACTCTAAATCAGCCAGACATGTGTGTCTACCGGCGGGGAAGGAAGAAGAGGGTGCCCTACACCAAACTGCAGCTCAAAGAACTGGAGAATGAGTATGCCATTAACAAGTTCATTAACAAGGACAAGCGGCGGCGTATCTCAGCTGCCACAAACCTATCTGAGAGACAAGTGACCATTTGGTTTCAGAACCGAAGAGTGAAGGATAAGAAAATCGTCTCCAAGCTCAAAGATACAGTCTCTTGAAGTGGAGTAGGTTGGCCACAGACGGTTTAGATGGGGTCAATTGTCTCCAAAAGACCTTTAGAAAGACTTGAATATGTATTTAATTCCCCTACCCCCTGCCAATGATGGCAAATTTTGTGAATTGTTTTCTCTCTTCCCTTACCTGGTTCTAAAACCTTTTGCTGTCCAACTTGACTTAGTTCTGATTTTTACGTGTTTATTATTGATTTTGTTCTTGTCTAGGTTTATTTTTTATGATGTTTTTAATGTTCTGTTTCTCCCTCCAGGCCAGTATAAAGGACTTGAAGTATTTTTGAATAATCCCCCAAATGATTTTCAGAAGTGCCATTTTAATTTAAGGGCTTTATTTTTAAAAATTACTTCATATGTCCATTCCCAGGACTGATTATCTTTATAATCTACTAAGGCAGAATAATTTGCAGTCATTCATATCATGTAATTAGGTAATTGAATCATTAGCTCACAGCAGTTGCCCTGAGGCAAGTGGAAACAGCTCCAGGCAGGCAGTGCTCTGGGGTCACCAGGAAAGTCTGAAAAGGGAGGCTAAAGGTACTGTGATGGCATTAAAAATGGCTACCTTATTAAACAGGGTTTGCACTGTATTGGAATGAAGACAATCTTTCCAACTTTCAGTCTTTCACTCGCTGTTTTAATTGTATGTTTTTAGCACATGTTGCAGGTTTATGTTTTTATAATCTTTAATTTGAAAATAATATGTCCTCATGGATGCCTTCATTTCTTGAGCCCTGAATGCAGATATTGAAGTGGCTGCGATTGATAAAATGACCCAAAGATATAAATGCACTCCCTTTCTTTTGCCTTGGGTCTGTGGGAGTGGGATTGAGGCCATTTCAATCCTTAGAGGCTGGATCAATATGGCCATGAGTGGGAACATATGTCCAGAACTCAATGAAGAAGTCAACTGTCTGAACAAATGCATCGGACCTTTTGTGAAAATATTAAACATACCGTACATGCAAGAAATGTGGACCTATAAGGCCCAAGGGGAAAAAAAGATGTTTCTGAAAGTGATGCTAACTTCTTTTAAAGTGCTGCATATTTATACAATTGAGAAATTATTTTTGTAATTGCAATGTCTGTGAGCTGGGATATGTGGGCAGTGCTTCAGGCATTTAAAAATCACATTTTACTCCTAGGGAGATGCAAATAAACAGAACGTTCTTGTTTCCTCTGAGCCTTTATAAATTTGTTTTCTTTTTCACTTTTTTCCCCTAGAAATTGATATTATTTATTACAAAATCTTGGTATCCTGAATGAACTGATGTTCTGTACAGCCGAAGGAAATAACACCAGTTTTGGTCTCTGAAACTTCCAGGCTCTTCACTTCTCTTCTCCTCTCTACCCTCATTGGGTTTAATTTACTTAATGATGTCTTTAAATGATTAATTTTTACCAGACCAGATCCAAAACCATCTCCAATAAAATTTTACTTCTCTTTCAATATTATCAATTTATTTATATAATTCTATTTGTTTTAAAAAGCCATGTGTATTTGTGTGCCTGAGTATAGGAAAACTCACTCACTTGGACGTTTTCAACCTAGGAAGGCCTTATGAATATGTGGGCTAGGAAGATCTTGAAATTAGAAAGACTTACCCATATTTGGCAATCAAAAAAAAATTTAGGCTTAATCCCGTATCGCCTGCTCCAGGCAGTCAGCACATAGCAATTGACAATTGAATATTGTCAATTATACAACCTCAACTTCCGGGCGCAATTTTTAGGCACTACGAATTTTCTCCTAGAGAGCTTTTTGCCACTCAGGGAAATGGCTGCTGAGGAGCTGGGTGACTTGTCCTTAACGGTACCTTCTGACAGAGTCAATTTAGTAGTCGCTAATTTTCCATACGTAAGTTAGTTAAATGTGGATTTTTAAAACCTCACATAATATGTAGACTCTTCCACTGGGACGGCTTCTTTATGGCTCTGAGAAAGAAAGCACAGAGACCTAAGGTTGCAGGCTACTTTCGTTTTCTCTGGCCCAGCTTGACTTCTTTCGCATCTTACTGCGGACCGTAGACAACCAGCTTCATTTTGTAGGGGGGTGAGGGAAGAGATATGACCACAATTCAATTTCGGGAAAAGAAATAATCCATGAAAATGGGGCCACACCCTCCTGGACCTTACATTTCGGAAATGGTCTCTACCATTTTCGTTGTTTTTCTCTTAAGGTGTGTTTTCATCAAAAATGGACATATTTTTCCTTTATCCTCATCGCCCCTCCAACGCCTCCCCCCCATCCTCTACAACTTTTTGTAAATTGCAGACTCTAAGGCCTCAATCTATTTCCTAGGTCCATTTCTCAGGTTTCCCTTGGTGAGTAGCGGAGATTGCCTCGAGGTTTTACCCTTTCATCTGTAGTTTGCTCTTCCTTCAGTTTCCCTCCACCTAAGAGAAATAGGAAGTTTGCTGAAGATTAAAACTGAGCTCAAACGCTCTGTTGGAATTTGGATTGACGACTAAATCAGTAACAGATGAAGGTCTTGGTTTTTATATGCGTTCCTTTTACACTCCAAACTGTGGAGGGAGGAGAGGAACCTATAAGAGGCCGAGGAGTTAGAAGGGAGGCAGCGAGGAGCCTAGGAGGAGAAGGGAGCTTGAAGAGAGGCCTACAGCTGGAGATAGGCCTTAGGGAGAGCCCCTCAGAAACCTGGCCGGGTATTAGTGCCGCCGGTGGGAGACCGAGGCCCGCTTGTACTTGCGTGATTCAAGAAGCAAGGAAGCTTTGGAACCTGGACCTAAGGCCAGACAGAAAGGTGACAGCAACGCCTCCGTACGTCTGGCAGCCCGCTGGGTCCCGATGGCTCTGCTGTTGGGGTCAGCCCGGCCGCCAAGGTCTACGGCTTTCTAAGGCGCTCGGCTGTTACTGAAAGCAGGCGGTGACCGCGGGGGCTGGAGACCCCAGGCGGGCCGCACCGCCCTTCACTGTTGATCTTGACCGTGCGGCTGTGCCTCGCCAGGCGTGGAGCGCGCTCGCCATCTCCTGGGCGGTTGGCGCCATTGGCGAGCTCACCGTTAGCTCCTCGGCCAAATTCGTCCTATTCTTTCAATCACCGGCCAAGCCGCCTGCTACCCCTACCCTCGGATACCCCCCGCCCCCAGTACTTAGCTCCCGCTCCACGCATAAAAGTTTGCTTGCCAGGCCTTGAAAGTCATAAACCTGGAGGTTGAAGTGGGGCGGCTGGGCAAAGAGCAATGGAAGGAGTCTAGCTGTTTTAGTCTTTTATGTTTCTCCGTTCTTTCATTCCTTTGGTCTTGAGGAGCAAACAGCTGTTATAAGGCTGCCCAAGGTCCTAAAGAGACACTCGTGGGCTTGGGGATAACGGAGAATGGCTGTGCACTGAGACAGCAGGAGCAGAGAATGCAAGGACCCATAGTGCTGATTTGGGGCTTGGGGAGGCAGCAGCTCCTAAAAAATAGGCCAGATTCTCTACAATAGTAGCTATTAGGTACCGGAGGCCTGTTCCCCCAAAGTCTCTAGGAACTGAGGTTGCAGCTGGTGCTTACCCCCACATCCCATAAAAGGAGGGGAGCAGAATCTCGAGATTCCTGAGCTCCTAAGGAAACTCTGGCAGAGCCCAGAGAAGCCCTAGATTTCCCCACCCCCATCCTCCCCACCCCCGCCCTAGAGGCCGATTGCGTTCCCCAGAGCGGCCCAATTGGTCGCCATAACTCACACAATAAAGTCGGAGTGCGGTGTGGTCAGCCTTGCCCTCCGGCGGCGCCTGTGTGGTCTCAGTGCAGAAGCTGGCGGTCTAACCAATTCCAGCTTGGCTCAGGGACCCAGGGGCCTGCTGCAGGCTGGGGCTGCCGCCCATCATTGAGTCTCTAGAGATCTTGGGATCCGAGACAGGAAGGGAGGACCCTTAGTCCTCTGACTCGACTAGTAGGTCTACTCCATACTGCTGCTCCGGAGAGACTGCAGCCCTTCCTGCTTCCCTGTTGGCCAGACCCGCGAACCTGCTCGCCCCCAGCGTCCCTGCCTAGAGGCGCTGAGACCAGGAGCTGCAAGGCGGCTGCCTCTGTGCGCTGCTCTTCCCGCCCAGGTGGCTCTGGGTTTTCTGCATGTCCACACCCGGTGTGTGTGTGTGGAGGGGGGGAGATTCGTCCTGCTTTGCCCTCCAGGTGTGAATGGACATCTTAGAGCTCTGGTTTGCAGAGTGTAGTCACCAAAGTGACTCCTGGAGATAAGAGGAATGTAGCATTTAACCACAATTGGCGCGACAAGCTTGCCAGTTTCCCTGGCCATCATTCTTCATGGACCCTGACGGCAACTTCCCAAGGATCATAGTTTCTGGCCATAAGAACACATACCAGGGATAGTATGAAGCTCCTTCCTGAGCACCATACAGGCAAGAGTTTGTGATGCCTTTCTTGTGCCTGCAGCCTGCAACTGAGGGCTCAAGGGCAGAGTGAGTCTTTGCTGCCAGATCCCCAGGGGCAGAAGCCTTTTAAGAGAGCCTTTCTATGGAAGAGATTGAGATAGGAGTGGTATTGCTTAGGCCTAGGAACAGAGCTCATGGTCCCGCCAGACCTCATTCTCTCCAGAGAGGCCGAAAGGCCCTCAGAAAATGCCTCAGATACAACTTAAAGACTGTGGAAGCAAGCCTGGCCCAGACAGCCTCTGGAAAACGGATCACAAAGCCAATCACTACCAAGTAGGGTCCCAAGGGACACTTGGACAAAGGCACCCTCTGTCGGGTTCCCCCAACTCCTGAAGCTGGGCCCAGAAACTTGTAGAGGCTTAGAGCTTTTGCTCAACGTGACTTGGCTCTGCCACAACCTCGTCCATAGCCATCGAACATTGCGGGTGTTATCATAATATCCTGAAGGGGGGGGAATGGGTTGGGGGATGTAGGCGGCGCTGAAATGACCGGCTTTGAAGAACCTGCAGGCAAAGTTTCGTCCAATCGTCTGAGCCTGTCCTCTTATTCCCGGTTGTAACTAAATACTGTTGCAAGCTCAGCCGAAGCCCTTTG